GCTAGAATTATGCAAATTCAGTTGGAATGAGATATCCAGAACAAATTAATCATTTTGGTGAAGGCCCACCAGAGGGAAGGCAAATTAATAAAGGAAGTCCTAGAAAGTGACCCTGGGCAAGTTTCTTGGCCTCCCTCTGTTCTCTTACCTGTGAAATGAGGCTGATGACACATACTTTAGGGGACTGTTACAAGATTTAATAGGATCAAACATGTAAAATCTAGTTGTACATAGCAAGGACTCAGTTAATTCCAGATACTATTTATGATCWTTATTATGAACCAGCTGAAAACCATCATTGTGACCCCCATTCAACCCCATCCTTCTGATGCACCCACCAGTATGCTAGAAAGCCACGTGGACTCCTGTAAAACCATTCAAAGTCCTCTGGTCCCTTAGCTGGAGGATCACTAAGTCCCAAGTTCCTCCTGAAACAATCTGACTCCTAAGAAATTCCTCCCTGTCCTGGGGGTATTAGGAGTCTGCCAGTGACTCTCAAAGATGGAAGGTTATAAGGGATGATGGAAGGTTAGATAAGGCCACTGAGGGAGGGAGAAACCCCTGCTCTTTGCTGAACTGTGGTCAAGGGTAGAGAGAAGCATCCAAAGTCCAAGTGGACCCTAAGTCTGAATATAACCCAGACATAGAATGCCCAGGCAGAGGTGAGGTTGATTCAGGGAGACAGGCGGCAACCCAGTGTTCAGAGATGAGTGGTTTTCCTCCCTTGGCCAGAGGAAGTGTGTGCCCAGTGTGACCTGACGTCACTGCTGGTGATGACTATTARGAGTCTGAATGAGGAGGGGCATGGTCTGGGTGTTTGTAGAGGATGAGCAGAATAATGCCCTTGAAGTCACCCCTTGGATTCTGGCAGAGGCAGCTATTAATGTTATTGTGTGTTGTCATGATTAGCAGCTATCATTTATTGAGCACCCACTGTGTGCCATATCTTGCACTTAGTCCTTTACATAGATTTCTTGTGATTGTCATAAGAACATTAAGGAAAAGATTACTATTATTATATCCCCCACTTTACAGGTAAGAAATTTGAGGTTCAAAGAGGTTAAATCCAGGAACATAGCTTGGGCACATAGCTCTTAAGTGACAAGTCAACCCCAGTGCCGCCCACACAAATTCTTGATTCTTTGCCTCCAGCCCTGACTTCTTTCTCCAACCCTCTTCCCACTGCCCTGGCCATGGGGTGGGGTGGGAGGAGGCAGATGATAAGGCCAACAGGTGTGTTCTGGGCTCCCTTCCTCACTGCTTGTGTCCAGTGGTGCTCACAGCCATTTCTCATTGCAGGAAGGTGAACAAGTGCTACCGGGGCCGCTCCTGCCCCATCATCGTGCATTGCAGGTTGGTGGGGACAAAAAGTGCAGGGCAGCCCAGGCTTGGAGAGTCCCCGGGCTGGAGTCTTCCTGATTCCCATCCTTCTTTGGCCTTGCTCCCTCTGTACATCTCCCATGCACATTGCCGGCCTGTCCCCTTAAGACTGGCACACTCTAGTCCACAGACTAAATCTGGCACAGCCTGTTTTTAGTCTTGTTGTTTAGTGGCCCATGAGCCATGGTTGAAGGGGAAAAAAAAAGAATGTGACAGAGACTCTCTGTGACCCTTTCCATGGAAAGTTGGCCAAACAAAAGCCTGGCCCCTGGTTAGGGAGGGCTGTTCCCCCCACCCGCTGGTGTCTCCTCCACAGGACTGACCCATGGCTCTCCTTTTGGGTTGTTCCAGTGCCCAGGGATACCCCACAGTTCACAGGCTCCCCTCTCTTGACCCAAGCCCAGGGCCCAGGCACTATGACCTTTCTCTTATCCGTGGCTCACTAGCGCCCTCCCCGGGCCCACCCTAATGGATCAACCAGTGTTGTCTCCAACCCAAACTTCCAGGCCTCCTCCACCCCTCTCCCCCATTCTGCTGGGCCCCTCTGCTAAGCCTGTCAACAATYCCTCCTGTTTTAGTGATGGTGCAGGGAGGACTGGCACCTACATCCTCATTGACATGGTACTGAACCGCATGGCAAAAGGTAAGACCATCCCCACAGTGCTCAAAGCTCTAGGGCGGTGGCTTGAGGCTCCCCAGCACCAGGTGCCTGGGAGCTTATGGAGGAGCAGTCTGTCAGGCTTCCAGGCTTTGCCCCATCCTCCATGCCACCCCCCACCTCTGGATGTCCCGGGATTTCTTTGCCCTAGCCTCCTCTGGACACCCCTGCAGCCCGGTGTTCTACCCTTTTTCCAGGAGTGAAGGAGATTGACATTGCTGCCACCCTGGAACATGTCCGTGACCAGCGACCTGGCCTTGTCCGCTCTAAGGTGACTGTGCCTTCCTGCCCTGACTCTAGCTGCCACCCTTCCCTAGCAGCCATGTCAGCCACCCTGGGGACAGCAGCAGCAGCCTGCTTCTCCCTTCTACCTCTGGACTTCCCTAGGAGGCTCTCCTCCTCCCAAGAAACCTACCCAGTACCCCCATCTGTGGAAAACCCCAGGGCAAAAACATAGACCAGGTCTCCCCATGACTCTCCTGTCATTGCCCTTCCCCAGGACCAGTTTGAATTTGCCCTGACAGCTGTGGCAGAGGAGGTGAACGCCATCCTCAAGGCCCTACCCCAGTGAGACACCCACRCCCCCTAGTGGGCAGCCCAGCCTCCGTTCCTTCTGCCTGTGTGAGCATCTATCTGTATATCTACTCCTCACCCCAGCCCACCACCTTGGTCCCTCTGGGCCCACCCAGCCCTTCCAAGAGCAGCGTGTAAGGGAGGAGAAGTGGGAAGGGCAGGCCTGTCCAGCCTCACACATGCTGGAGTTGGGGTAGCTCCTGGGGGAGCTGGCAGTGGCCAGAAGGAGAGGAGAGGCCGTGGGCAGCAAGCCTACCCAGAGCCTTCTCCTGCCTGAATTCCCTGGCCCCTCTTTGTGGTTCTGGATGCTCCTGACACCTCCGTGTATTTCCCTGGCCTGCTGTGTGGACAGAGCGGGGTGGGGTGCACCAGCTTTCCCAGCCCTGCTGCTGTTGGCCTGCCACCTTGAACCCCACAAGGGGACTCTCCTCCCTGCCCCCAGGCCTCCTCTCTCTGCCCTCCCGCCATGTGCCAATCAACCTCTCTCCCTCTGGCACAAGAGAGCATTTCTAGAAAAATCTACTTTTGTATCAATGTGAATAAAGTTAGTGTTGTCTGTGCATCTGCAACCCTGACTCCTTCGTGTTTGTCTGCTCTGCTTCCAGACCAGCCTCAGCCCTGGTCCCAGCTGAGCCCTTTCCATCTCTCCTTAGAGGATGGGACACTGCAGCCTGGAGGCTCGCTTCCCTCCGTCTGATCAGTGGTGGGTTAGGCATACATAACCACCAGGCAGTCCTTGTTTACCCTAGGTGGCTGGCAGTCTCCAAGGTGTCTCACGTTTATTAACTTGATCTTCACAAGCCACTACCCAGGATTAGCCTCTTTCGAAGATGAAGAGGCTGCAGCATGGCCCTGGCCCAGGTGGTACATCCTTGTAAGTGGTAGAGTTAGGACCAGACCCAGCAGCTTGATCTCCCTGCTGCCTTCCCTCTCAAGTCTGGGCAGCTGTTTTGTGCACTTTGTCCTGGGGAATAACTTTCATATGGTGCAGGACTGAGGTTAGGCCCTGTGGAGGTCACTCTATAGCAAACTCTGACAGTGGTGCCAGGAAGACCTCTCTCCCTGGGGGGTGGGGTGAGGGGGGATTCTTCTCCCTTTCTGTCCCACCCCAGCTTCCAGGTACCTCCCTTATGAGGCATTCCTTCCTGGCATTCCTTCTCCCAGCAGTCCTCACCTGTGTGCCAAGAGGTGCCCTTGGTGGTGGACACAGAGCCTGAGGCCTGGGCCACATAGGAGTTAGGACCACTTACCCATGTAGAGGCTCAGTCTCCCAGAGCAAATACCATCTGCCAGAGTGGGAAGTGAAGGGACCAGCCAGAACAACACAGGCCCCTGCTGTCCGTCCACTCTACCAAGGTGCAGCCCAATGTGCTCAACATCTCAGGGCGGAAGCAGGGAAAACAGCCACTTTCACAAACTTCTGGCAGACTCTTTCAGGATAGAGGCTACTTCTTTAAGAAAATACATCAGGGCTGGGGATGTGGCTCAAGCGGTAGCGCGCTCGCCTGGCATGCGTGCGGCCCGGGTTCGATCCTCAGCACCACATACCAACAAAGATGTTGTGTCCGCAGAACACTAAGAAATAAAATGTTAAAAATTCTCTCTCTNTGCGGCCCGGGTTCGATCCTCAGCACCACATACCAACAAAGATGTTGTGTCCGCAGAACACTAAGAAATAAAATGTTAAAAATTCTCTCTCTCTCTCTCTCTCTTTAAAAAAAAAAAAGAAAAAAAAAAAAAGAAAATACATCATAGGCCCTTCGGCTATTTAAGTTAAAACTAAGAGCCTCTCCCAGAATGCATGGAGGCAGGTCACACTGCCCTGCACCACAATGCAAAGGTGCTTGTGCCATGGCTGGAGAACGGGGAAGGTAGCCAGCTCTCTGCTCCCTGGACCCAGATGGCTTGGGGCCTGAGTTCTGCATGGGAGGACTCTTACTCTTCTAGACGCCCTGGCTCACACCTCTGCTGTGAGGMAAGGACCCTGCTGAGGGGCTTAGTAAAGGGACCTGGAGGTCTGGCTTAAAGTTTTCACCAAAGTCCTCGGCTTCCTGAGGCTCTCATGCTTCCAGTCTTAACTTAATCTGGTCCTAACTGTGCCTGTRTTGTGCAGTATTGGTGGGTGGCTCCCTTGTAAGAGGAATATCCACCATGGGGAAAACTGATTGTGGGACCTCAAGAGGAAAGGGCCAAGAACGTAAGCATTTCTCAGGGCCCCACCACAAACTGGGGAGGGCAATTTGGTCAACCTGGAGGAGACTTCTGCTGCCAACTGGCAAGGCTTGCACCTGCAGCTGTTTGGGCAAAAAGGAGGTGAGGCCTGAGGTGTCACCCATTCGTCCTACAGGGTTCCTCATGAGCCACCTAGGAAAGAAGGAACACAGCATACTACCAAGCTCTCAAAACAGCTTTATTGACTTCCAGTTTCCCTCCTGTCTTGAGCTCAGCCCAGCTGGCTTTGATAGGTCTCTGAGGCTCAGTGCTACAAGGGCTGATGACACCCCACTCCAGCAGTCCCCTCCCTAGCCTTGGGCTCCCCAGGCAGGGAGGAGGAGAGGCAGCTCGTCTGTGATGTTGGAGAGAAAGAATGGGTAGCAGGGTCAGAGGCCAAAGAAAGCCATTCAAGCAGCAGCATGCCTGGAGTTCCTGTCACATGCCGCTAGGGTGGCCTCCCCTTCCAAGCTCTGCCAGCCCACGCCCATCAGCCTTCCATGGCCATGCCCTGCTTCCTCAGTCTGCTGCCCCCCTGTCTTGTTCCTCAGACCCCAGTCTGCCTGCAGAAAAAGAACCTCTTTCAGACATTGCAGGTCCTTGACCTGCCCACTCCGACCCCGGGGCCAGCAAGGTGTCAGGGGAACTGAGGCTCAGGTCATTCCCCCTTCATCCACATTCTAGCCTGCCAGGAACAAATCAAAAGACAAGATCTCCCAGTCTAGAGCGAGTGACAAGCTGGCCAGCGCCAGAACTACATACTCCAAGAAGCACAGATCTGTAACCACGCACCACCTCCCCTGGCTATGTTGAGCAGGAAGGTGGTCRGGTGCACTGCATTCTAGGACTAGTAGTCCCCAAGAGACAGCAGCAAACACTCAGGTTAGAGAGTTCCCAGGCTAAGACTACTGATGCCTCCCRCCCGACCCCCACCCACTACCCAGGCCCCAGTTCTACACTCAGGATGGGTGAGGGAGAGGAATGGAGTGTCCCCTCCCAATGCTTGGGGGAGGATGCTGTCCTGTTGGAACTGTGCAGCGACTGTGGATCCTGGACATCCAGCTCAGAACACATCTGGGGAGAGAGCGGGGGCGGGTAACAGGAGAGAGGGTCAGCAGCAAGCTGTGGAGGATGGAGCCAAGCATGCACACCTGGGCTGGCCCTGTGGCCTTTCCCTGAGCCCTGATGCATGGTGGGAAAGTAGTATGGGATCCAGTCCCCACCTAGGCCTCCCCCGGGTCACCTGGCCCTACCCCACCTCTCCAGGGTTAGCCAGCCTCACCTCTGCCTAGTCCCAGGGCCGGGGCAGGCTGAGGCAGCAAGAGGAAGGGAGGAGGAGTGGACTCCGGTTCCAAATCTGGATGGCTGAGAGGCTCCCGCCCCACCCCGCTAGCCTCCCCAGAAGACCTCATGGCCCCACTGGCCCCAGCATCTTCCTGGGCACACTGAGGCTTCTCGGGGAGGGAAGAAGAAGGGAGTCCTAGCCAGACGGCAGTGAAAGCAAGCGATGTGGCCCGCAGGGAGTTGCAGAAAGCAGAGTAGGAGAAAGGAGAGCAGCACAGAAGGGAAGCACAGAGACAGTCAGAGCTCAACACTGCACAGAAACCAGCGGGGGCTGCAGCTGGACACAGAGCAGAGCCGCTGCTCAGTCTGCACTGCTCCCCAGGGTAGCTGCCAACTCGGCTCARAGCACCCCAGGCCAAGTCCTCCTTCCTTGACACAGTTGGCAACACAGGTGGCAGAAAACCTGGGCACAAAAGGCCCAACCCAAACTACTAATGCCACTCAGAAACTCCCCATTCAGCAAGTGCATCTGGGCTCATCCTCAGCCCCTTCCACAGCCCTGATGCCCCGACCCTGGGCTTCACCCAGGGACCTATCAGCCCCAGGCTGAGCAAATAAATTCCAAATCCACAACACCAGAGTGCAGCAGGCCTGGGAGGGAAACGTGGAGGGACATGGGCTGCTTTAACTCAGGCCATGCTCCACTCAGCTCTCCTGACAGCCGGACCTCAAGTCAAGACCTGAGTCAAGTCAGGCTGGGCCTGGTGTTCAAAGGATGTGGCAGCGAGAGGCCTTCTCCTCTGGAGATGGGCTACGTTTGGTTGCCTCACCCTTTGCACCCTCAGGGGTCCCCCCCACACCCAGATCTTGGTGCTGGACCTTGGGTTGCCCCTGCCGTTGTTGCTGCACCCCCCGCCCACCTGCCGGCTTCTGCCCAGCTGCTTCCATCTCTGACAGACTGTAGGCCATGGCAAGCTGCAGGTCCTCATCATCCTCAGAGAGGTCACTCTCAGAGGGACGTGATACAGGGGTTGGCCGGACCTGCATGCCCCCCGACCTGGAGGTGACTGACTGTTGCTGCTCCCGACGGCTCAGCTCCAAGCCCAAGGCCAGGTCATCTGGGACACCTGCAAGAGTCACCACCAACATGAGGCTCCAGACTCGGGGCCCATCCCTTCAGTGAGGACTGGGCACCATGCATCAGCCCCTAGGGCTCACCTTGAGCAAGTTATGAAACTTCCCTGGGCCTCCCTTTTCTCACCTATGCAATGGGAATGCAATCAAGCCTACATATGCAAATCATTCCAGTGATTAATTAAGACAACAAGCATGGGGTTACAATGGGGAGGAGGGGAGCAGGGTTGGTGGCGTCTGCTCTGGGAATCCTGCACCCAGAGTTTGGTTACTGGTTCCTTTTATCCCTTGCTTGATAGGAAGAAATCTTGCACAAGGAGCTACTTGAAAGTCAGGGTCATTAACCATGCTGTGACTTGGTCTCCTCAAATAAAATTAGGCAAATACCACCTGCTCTGCTTGTTCTCATGGATGCTTTAAGAATACAGGAGAGGGCTGGGGTTGTAGCTCAGTGGTATAGTGCTTGTCTAAGCACGTGTGAAGCACTAGGTTTGATCCTCAGCACTACAAATGAAATAAAAGTATTGTGTTCATCTACAACTAAAAATATTTTTTAAAAAAATACAGGAGATACTGGATATGTGCTAATGTTTTAAAACTATAAAGTGCTCTGTAAATGTAAGGCACTCCACTAATGTGATAGTGATTAGCTGTATCRCTGAGATCTGTTTACTCTTTCCCCCTCTCATGGCCATCTCTGATCCTGAAAATCTGGCCTGTGGCTGACATTAGGGCCCAGCCCACACAGGAGTTCAGAGAAGAGCCATATGGGGAGGGGGCTGTAGGGGCTGAGCTGATCTTCCTGCAAGTTCTGGGTGGTGGAGCCACTCCTCACCATTGATGGAGACTGACTTCAGCTGCCCGTCCTCCTCCACTTCTACCCGTTCCTGCCCATTCTCCATGATTCTGTGGGAGACAGCACAATTCTGGTAGAGACTCTGGCCACCACAGTAGACAGGGCAGATTTTCTATGGTGTACACAGCTCTCACCTCCACCCCTCAATCTCAGACCTCTCACCCACATGGCCCTAGAAGGAGCTCTCACCTGCGTGTTGTGATGCGGCRTCCTTGGACAAAAGTGGTGGATGTGGAAACAGAGCGAAAAGCACCAGCCCCAGGGCTGAAGGAGAAAGACGAGGAGGAGAAATCTGGCATTGGGATGAAGGAGGCAGAGGAGAAGCTGTTAGGGGAGGCTATGCCCTGACTGCCACAAAAACACCAAAGGCCAAGGACCTCAGGCCTCTCATACAGCTGCCCAGAAGCAGGACCCTACATACAGGGCACAGGCTTAAAAAAGTGACAAGATGAGGTAGAGATTCCAAGACTCAGAGCTTCTAAAAGTGCGAAGAGACAACACTTACCAGAATGCCCAGGGAAGGAAGAAGAGAAGGTAAAGAAGGGGCCCGAGTGTCGAGTGCCTCGACTCTGAAGCTCTGAGAAGGGGCCCAGGTCATCTGCAACAAGAAAGCAGATCAACCGTTACTAGGGAGCAGATTTCCCCCCAAAATGTGTGAACTTAGCTTATAACTCTAGAAATACAAACTGCTAAGCAACTGGGTACTTTTCTGATTTTTTGTTGTTTTTGGCTGAAMTTCTTCACAAAATAAGTTCCTTTTGAAGGTAGTATATGAAAATCCTCAGTGGTTAGTTCTGTTCTTCCTTTGTTCCTTCCAGAACAACCAGTTCTGGGAGGAATGAAGGAAGAAAGGAAAGAAGGAAGGGAGAAACATAAAAGGAAGGGCAGATGGCTCCTTCCACATAGGCAATTAAGGATGATGTGMTGATAGGCAGGAACAGCAGGGAGTCCTGGCTTTTGCCATTTGCTGTGTGACTCTGAAACAAGCTATCTGTGCCTCAGTTTATAAATTTTTATTTCTTTATTTTTAGTTTATACATCTTTAAATGGGGATTAAAATTACCTCTAAGGTGGTTCAGAAGAGAACTGGGGATGTAAAATACTTGACATTAATCTTTCAAAACCTAGTATATGTTGTTATGGGTAATGCTACTATTATTGTCACATGAYGCTTTGAGTCTTGCTCTCATGGCTGTTATTGTGGAAGTCTAACAATGTGTTACTGTTGTTGTCATTTAGTAAGACCAGTCTGTAAAGTGTCACTAGTGGGTCACGTGAGTTCTGGCATGTGTAAGGTTCTGTCCCAGCTCTCACTGGACACACACCCACTGCATAAGATCTTTTGCCTGTGGAATTCAGCTTGTCTCTCAGCCTCYTGCCTAAGGGCCTCCCAGCTGACAGAGATCAGGCCTGAAAGGGGAAGCTGAGTCATTCTGAGCACATCTGGGTCCACTCACCAAAAAGTTCTGCAAAAGGGTCTCCACTCCCGAAGAACTCACGGAAGACTTCTTCAGGACTTCGGAAGGTAAAGGTGAAACCAGGCCCACCACCACCACTTTCTGCCCGAGAGGGACCAGATGCTGGAGGAGACACMGCATGAGAGGGAAGCTTAGGGTGTGTGTCTCACCTCAAGACAAAGATGCCACCAATGGCATGGCCAGGAGCCTCACAGAAAGCTTTTCATGGCAGGAGTCTGCCCTCCCCCTTCCTCCCTGACCCACTTCCATCCCCAGGTCCCGCCTACCTGCCCCAGTCAGCCCTTCYCGGCCATAGCGGTCGTAGATCTCCCGCTTATGCTCTGAAAAAAGAGACCTGATTACTTCTCCCTCCCTCTGGGATGATGGCCCACCCTTCCAGGCTAGCATAGCCCTCAAAAGATTGCCCAGAGACTGAAGTTTTGGGGAGCAGAGTGCAGGAGGGTGTTCAGGGCACACAGGCTATGGGTTTAGCCCTTGGCACAGCTGGTACCTCATCTGTAAAATGGACAATAGCAACTACCTCCTAGGGCTATTGCAAGGATTAAATGAAATAATTTATGTAAACTGCTTAGCACCATGTTTGACACATAATGAGCGCTCAATAAATGTTGGGTAGGAGCTGGGGGTTTAGCTCAGTGGTACAGCGCTTGCCTAGCACCCTGGGTTCAATCTTCAGCAATGCAAAAAATAAATATCAGCTAATTATCACTATGTAATTATTAGTCAGAACTTAGCCTGAATGTCAATTCCTTAGAGAGACCTTCTGAGACCACCATAACAAACCAGGTGCCCATTATTCCCTACCACAGCACCCTGCTACTCTCCTTCAAAATGCTCTTCACAAGCTACAACTCTGTGATTATTATCTATCTTTGCTGACCTCAGGACAAGGGCAATGCCTGCTTGTCCGCCCCAGTACCCAATTAGTGCCTGTCACTGTAAAATTCTAATCAATAGTTTTCAAATGAATGAATAAAAGACAGATTCAGGGTCAGGAGTGTAGCTCAATTGTTGAGCACTTGCCTAGCATGTTTTATCCCCAGCACCACAGAATAAAACATAAAAGGCACACCTGGACTCATTCCAGCTCTGTGAGACCCTGAGCAAGTTTTTTCACCTCTCTCAGCCTCCTTGCCTATGAAATGGGAGTAAGAAAACCTGCCTCACAGGTTGCCTGAGAGGACCCATGGAAATTATCAAGGCCTGGCACGGAGGAGGCTCAAATACATTGGTCACCTGCCCTGCTCCCTTCCCTGGTCAGGACCCATGCCACTCTCTAGAGAGTAGGGAGGAGACAAAGCTCTTCCTATGGAAGGGGGCACTTAAATGCCAAGTTTGAAAAATGGAGGCAGGTGGCAGAGGGATGGCTTTGGGAAGGAATCTGATGGGCATGAGTAGAGAGAGAGGATGTGCTGGGCCCTGTCCTGACCCAGGGCCTTACTGTCAGACAGCACTTCATAGGCCTCAGCCACCTCCTTAAATTTCTTTTCAGCAAACTCTTTATTATCCGGGTTCTTGTCTGGGTGCCACTGTAGAGCCTTCCGACGATACCTGCAAGAAGTGGGTGCAAGGGGAGGGTCAGGCTCTTCCCACCAGGGAACTGAAGCACCCATCCATTCTCCCTTAGCCCACCACTGTCCTTTCACAGCTTGTACCCCAGCCCACCCCAGCTGCAGAGGCTGCTCTGTTGCCATCTTTTCATGGAGCTCTTCTCTCTCCCTTCTGTGCCAGGGCTGGAACCACATGATGAGCAGATATTAATGCCAGAGTGAGAATGCCCTGACCCTAACTGGACCAGCACAGAGGATAAAAGAACACTGACCCTCCTCCTAGAATCTGGGCATCTTTGAGCTGCATGTGGAGAAAGCCCACATCTAGAGGAGGGGAGTGGAAGGGACGGAAGAGAGGCACTGGAGAAGGACCCACAGTGTAGCTTCCAGCACGACTTGGTCTTTCTCTGAACTTCCTCCTTTTATTCTACTCCTGCAGGTATCACTCTGAAAGGCCCCATGGCACTGGGGGTGGGGGGTGGGGCAGGGAGTGGGAGGTTTTCTGATGCACAGCGGAGGCACTTACGCCTTCTTGATGTCATCAGCGGATGCACTTCGAGGCACATCTAGAATCTCGTAGTAGGATGCCATGGCAACCCGTCAGTCGTCAGGCAGGCCTCTCCGGGCTGCAGGAAAGAAGGAGTCAGGCAAAGGGTACCAGCAGCCCCTCCCTATGGCGGAGACCCCCGGGGGAGGGAGGCTCTCGGAGGTGGTAGCAGAGCCCGCGGGGCGGTGCTTGCAGCCGGCAGCGAGACTCCTTCCGCAGCTTTATCTGCCCCCGCAAGCCGGTGCCCAGGGCTGTCTGGATGCGCAGGCCCGGGGAGCCCTATCAGAGCCCCCTAAATTCAGCACCCTGGGTCGGGCCCCCGCCTTACGCGGGCCCGGCAGCACCTCGGTGCCGGAATCCCGCCCCAGCCCCCCGCCGGGAACCGTCTGGCACGGGCGGCACGGCTCGCGGCTGCTGCGTAGGACGCACCCGGCCCAGCTGTGCGACAAGCATGCGTCAGCTGCACGGAAACTACTAGAGACTGGGAGAAGACCGGCTCCACCCGTCACACCGAGGGGAGGGCGACGGCAGGGGCTGCTGGGAGATGGGGGCGGAGCTTGCTATTTTGGGCAAGCACAGCGGCTACGTCATCCCCAGGTGCGACCTGGGAAGCTGAGGCCAGCGCAGTCCATCCAGGCGTGATGCACTCGCGCAAACCGAGGCAGAAGCAGCCCACCAGCAAGGTGCTGGCCCTGGTCCCGATGTCTCTCGGCTGTAACACTCTGTAATCCATTGGAACTCACCCGGAGGTCACGGCTGCCTCCAAGACCCACCGACTCGCCTAACTCCTCCCCTTCTTCGGATCCCTGTTCCAAGTCCTGGCCTTCAAAAGAGCCTGCCCTAACATTCCTTGAGTAGGTCAGACCTGCCTTTTAGAGCGTCTCGCGGCATTTCCCTCAGCACTCTTTTCAGARCCACAAATTAGCATTTATTGGTTTGCTTATTTGATTCACAGTCACCTCCCCCACTAGAATGTAAATTCCACAGGGCAGAGATTGTGTCCTTTTTTTCACTAGTAAATAGGGCAGTAGTCAGTGTTCCAAAAGATCCGTTGGATAATTAAATAACTAACAGATGCAAATCCCTTGGTGACAGTTTGACACATTTGGGAGAGGTGAAGTTATAGGAGACACTAAAAAGAAACTCCCCAGATTCAAGGTTTTTCTTCTCAAACCGATGTTGGAATAGCCCTGTTCCACCTCAAAAATGATTCCCAGGTTCAGGCCTTATGAGAGAGCTAGAGAACCTTCCAGAAATGGCTCTTACAAGGTACTATACAGCCAATCCACAAGCATTAGTTGCAGATCTTCTACATACTAGATGCTGCCAGCATGTATAAAGAAGAACACAGAGATTGGAGCATAGCTTTGTTGTAGAGCACTTGCGCAGCATGCATGATGCCCTGAGTTCCATACCCAGCACTGAAAAAAGAAAGAAAGAAAAAAGAAAAGATATAGAGGAAGAGGGAGAGGAAAGGAGAAGGAAGACTAAAACTTGATATGATAACAGCCTATCCCTAGGGCTTTTGGAAACAGACCTGGGTTTGCAACCTGACACTGCTCTGTGACTTAAGGAAACCTCTGTGGGCTCACTTTTTTCTCTTTTAAATATAGGTAATGCCTGGGGTTGTTTTTCTTTGTTTTGTTTTGTTTGTTTGTTTGTTTTTAAGAGAGAGTGAGAGAGGGGGAGAGAGAGAGAGAGAATTTTTTAATATTTTAATTATTTATTTATTTTTAGTTTTCGGCAGACACAACATCTTTGTGTGTGGTGCTGAGGATCGAACCCGGGCCGCACGTGTGCCAGGCAAGCGCGCTACCACTCGAGCCACATCCCCAGCCCCTGCCTGGGGTTGTTTGAAAGTCAAATGGGRCACAGTACCTATTCTGTATCATTAGTACAACCATCTCTGGCATCACAGTTGGCTCAAAGAGTAACTGTTAATGAGTCCAGAAAAGTGTTTCCAGATGGGTGACCCAGGAATGCTTCATCAAAGATAAGGGCTTGAGCTGGACATGAGGGAAGAAAGTGGTATGCATTTGTCCAGTTTTCCTGGCTGTCCATCATCAGAACCTCCTGCTTACATTTGGGGAATTCCCATCTACATTTGGGGAATTTCCATTGCACAGTCCCTGCCACATGGCCATCTGCCACAAAAGCACCAGGGATTGCTCTCTCAGACTTCCCAGCTCTAACAGTGGGAAGGGCACGCAAAAGATATAAGATCTGCCAAGCAGGTGCTGTAACTGGGACTTTAAATCTGGAACAAGTCACCAAACAGCAGGTGTAAGTAGATGACTATCCATTTCTGCCTGGTGGTGACTGCCATGGGGCCTGCAGTGGCCTCTAGTGTCTGGCCGAAGAAACTGTCAGCCTCAATTATCTGTTGTAAGAGAGGCAWGGGCATTGAAGTTGGTGGAGGGGCAAGTATCTCCTACACAGGTGGCCAAGCTTGCCCTGGTGCTTGCCTGTTTGCTGAGCCTTGTTTTCAAGCTCTTGCATTGATTCTGTGTGCTACTACATTTGTGGAGGTGGGGAAGGGGTGTTGTTTTGTTGCTTTTATAAATTTACCAGAGTTCCTTTCTGCTGTTTACAATAGGAGTTTTGACTGATCCAAAGACTGAGGACTCAGATTTTATATAAGAGCAAATTGTAGGCTGGGTCACTTGAAAATCTTCCAAGCCATTGTCTTTATCTTCTTACTTCTCTCACCTCAACAGATATTTGTCTAGCATCTCCCGTATATGTGAGATGATACAAGGGTAGAAATTCAAAAGGTTTCAGTTCCTGTCCCTGTGCTCAGGGAGATGAAAATCTAGTTGGAACATAGTCAAAGGACATAGACAAATGACAACCAAGAGAAATTATATTGAATGCATCTAGCAAACAAAGGGTTAATTTCCTTTGTCCACAAATTCAACAAATTAATAAGAAAACAAACAAACTGCAATTTTTTTCAATGCTGGGGATGGAACCCAGGGCCTCACATATGCTGGGCAAGTGCTGTATCCCTGAGCTGCATCCTCAGGTCTCCACTGTAATTTTGAAAATGGGCAAAGGGCATAGACAACTCACAGAAGAGGAAGCACTAGCTTCAAAATACATGAAAAGATGCTCAATCTCATTCATAACAAAAGAATTATAAGCAAAAACTGCTGCCAGTGACAAAGGCCTGTAATCCCAGGGGCTCTAGAGGCTGAGGCAGGAAGATTGCAAGTTAAAGTCATCTCAGCAATTTAGCTAGGCGCTAAGCAACTCAGCCAGACCCTGTGTCAAAATAAAATACAAGAAAAGGGCTGTGGATGCAGATTAGTGGCCAAGACACCTTAGGTCCAATCCGTGGTACTAAAATAAACCAAACAGTGTAACAAAATACCTTACTTTACTTTTTTTTGTGGTACCAGGGATTGAGCCCAGGGGCACTCTACCACAAAGCTATATCCCCAGCCTTTGTATCATTTTTTTTAAATTTTGAGATAGGGTCTTGCTAAATTGCAGAGGCTGGCCTTCAATTTGAATCCTCCTGCCTCAGCCTTTAGAGTCACTAGGATTACAGGCAAGTACCACCACATCCAGCTACTTAYTGAATGATTGACAAGGATCAAAGAGAATAAATACATCATATGAGCAAGGCTCAGATGTTCTTGTATGTTGGTAGTGGGAGGGCAGGTAATTTAGTATAATTTCTGTTAACTTTTTTTTCCTGGTCACTTTGTGGTGCTGGGAATTGAACTCGGGGCCTTGTGCATGCTACACAGGTGCTTTACCACTGAGCCATGTCTCTAGGCTTTGGTATGCTTTCTAAAGAGCAATATGGGGTACAACAAAATTAAATGTGTGTGGTCTTTGATCCAGCAATTCCAATTCTAAGAATTTATGGTTGTATATAGGTGCAAAGAAGTATGTTCAAGATTGCAGCATTCTTTTTATTAAGATAAGATTAGAAATAACCTAAACACTTATTATTAGCAAACTGTTTAAAATGACAATGGTAAACTGTGTGATGGAATATTTTCAAAAGCATGAGGCATCATTACATGTACTGATAAAGACCATCTTCTAGATTGTTAAATGAAAAAACAAGGTGTAGAACACAGTGTATATTAAATGTTATATATACACATGAGAGGTATTTATATGTCTCTAAAAGAAAACACTATCAAAAAAGTTAATAGTAGGCTGGGGATGTGGCTCAAGCGGTAGCGCGCTCGTCTGGCATGCGTGCGGCCCGGGTTCCATCCTCAGCACCACATACAAACAAAGATGTTGTGTCCGCCAAATACTAAAAAATAAATATTAAAAATTCTCTCTCTCTCTCTCCCTCTCTCTCACTGTCTCTCACTCTCTCTTTAAAAAAAAAAAAAAAAAGTTAACAGTGGTGTCTTCCAAGAGGAGAACAAGACAAAGGAGATTTATCCTTGCAGTTCATAGATTTCTTTGGTACCCTTTGAATCCTGAAGGATGTGCATATAATGTCTATTCAAATACATATAAAATTTAAAACCCTAGTTTGGGAACTAGGACATTAATAAGAAGCCACGTGCTACTGTACAAGGCAGCCCATGCCAAGGGCCAAATGAGTGGTGGAGACAGATGGATGGTAGGGGCTGGCAGAATCCAGAGGAGGGAGAGGTCCTGGGGGTTGMATGGGTTCCAGATGGCTGTGACCTAAGCTGGAATGAATGGCAACAGTGAGGTGGGGAGGGGAAGGTGGCAGTCCAGAAGGAAATGGTGAGGACGAAGCTCCAAAGGCACACATGTTCCTGACACAGCAGAGGTGAGTAAATAAATCTGTTGGGTGGGATCCAATGCTGGGAAGCTGCCTCTTGTGTCTGTCTGCAGGAGGTAATTGTATCCTGGCTTTAGAAGTATCAGGGATGAAAGCATTCCCCTGCATTGAGAGAGTCCCCAGGAGCCAGGCTGGGTGGCCCTCCCAGCTGCCACCTCCCCATACCACACCCAATCTAACCCAGGCTTGCCAGTGCCTGCCAGCATGCATACACTGGGATGACTTTCGGAGTCTGACAAGAAGAGATAGCCATACAACTGCCAGGGGTGGGTTGGCTGATACAGTAGACAGGAGGGGAGATTGGCTGCCTCTCTGAATACCAAGCCATATTGGCAGATGACAGTCCCATCTTTCTCTCAGCCATCCCTCCTGATCTCTCCCAGGCCCTTACCCCACCTCCTATGAGATGTCAGAGGATCCTTTCCAAAGGATACCAAAGCCCTGCTACCTGTCCCCAGAGAAGCATCTGTCCTAATTTAGGCCCAGAAACTTGGCTCATGCCCCCTCCCTTGATGCCCTCCCCACCCCCAGATCCTGGGCAGGGCAGAGTCAAGCATCATTCCCTCCCTGCCCTGGAGGTGCCTGAGTCACTGTCTGGGCATCAGGCACCTGGCAGGCCAGAGGAACCACTGTGGGCAGGAGGGAAAACATCTGAGGGAAGGTAGGCAGCAGCACAAGCTTTAGCTTGGTCTGATCTGAGTTTGAATTCCTCCTCCTTGCATTTACTAGCTGAGTAA